TAATGGACTTCACCAAAGTTAAAAGCTTCTGTGATCAAAGGACATTATCCTACGGGCGGGTGTGGTGGCTCATGCCTGTAATCCAAGCGCACTCTGGAGGCTGAGGCGCGGATCGCTCAAGGTCATGAGTTCTGGACCAGCCTTAAACTATAGGAACAAGACCTGTCTCTTACTAAAAAATAGAAGGAAATTAATTGGGCCAACTGAAAATATATACGAGAAAATGAGCCGGGCATGGTGCGCGCATGCCTGTTCAGTCCCAGGCTACATGGGGGCTGAGGCCAGGGAGGATCGTGTGAGCCCAGGACTTGAGGTTGCTGTGAGCTAGTGGCTGACACCACAGCACTGCACGCCGGTAGCCTGGCGGCAACAGAGTGAGACTCTTGCTCTCAACAAACAAAAGACTTTACTCCTGTGAGAAACACTTCATCAGGCGAGCTCAGGCTCTGCCCGCTCCTGGAGGGTAAGACACAAAATTAGCCCGGGCAACAGAGTGAGACTCTGTCTCAAAAAAAAAAAAAAAAAAAAAAAAAAAGATGGATTTTATGTTATGTGACTTATCTGCAGGGAAGCAGACCCTTCCCCACAGACCCCCTCCAGCCGTGGTGCCCACCCACCCACCCAGCAGGAGACGAGCTGGGGGCAGGGCTCTCAGTGAGTTCGCCGGGACTCCTGGGGTCCTGCCACACCCTTCTGCCGTGGCTAACGGTGGGCGGTGGGAGACAGTGCTGACTGCGGGCAGGGGCAGCCCGGGCCACGGCTGGACCTGGACCACCTCGGGGCTGCCTCTACAGCTGGACCTTCCTCTCATCTCAGCTCAAGGCCCCACGGAAGGCCCTCACCTGTGGGGGACCCTTACCTGGTTGGTCAGGTGGCCGCTGAGGTCGATGGCATGGGGGTCGTAGAGGCTGAGGGTGAGGCGGGCGTAGCCATGGGCGAAGAAGACCATGTAGGGCGTGGCGCAGGCGATGACCAGGTAGGAGCGCACGTCGAACTTCTTCCCCTCCAGCAGCAGCGGTTTCTGGATGTACCTGTGGGCACCCCGCGGGGCAGCCTGGTCTGAGCCATTTCCTCAGCAGCCTGCCACCTGTCCCAGGTGTGACCTCTGGCTGAACACAGTGTCCACGGTAAGGGGGCGCTGCTGAGCCCACTGGCTGTGTCTGGGGCGCCCCAGGGTGCGGCCTCACCAGGAGCCTGCAGGGTGGGACCCGGCCGGGCGGGGAGGGGGGCAGGCTGCCGCGTGGAGGACCTGCAGGTCTGCAGTCCCTGGCAGGACACAGCAGCTCAGGAGGGGCTGATGGAGGGGATGGACAGCAGATAGCCGCTGTGGCCAGAGCGAGGCTCTGCACTGGCCGAGGGTGAGGTCAGCGGGGCATTTTGAGGCCAGACTCAGCCCCGTGGGAGGCTGAGCCTCTGGACCCCGCCTGGAGGCAGACACAGCTGCAAGGCATACTCCGGCGGGGAAGGCGGGGAAGGCGTGGGCAGCTCTCAGCAGCAGCTCTGAGGCCACAGGGGCCCGGCTGGGCTGGAGGGGAGGCAGCTGCAGGAAGACCTGCCGAGGCCAGGCCTCTTGCAGGTCAGAGGGGCAGAGCGAGGCTGAGAGACAAGCTGACCAAGCCCGCCCTGCCGCACTCCCCATCCTGTCTGCGCCCTGCACGGATGTGGCACGGGGCCCAGCTGTGGCCCGCAGGATGCAGCTCAGATGGGCGCTGGGGGTGTGGCAGTTTTCCACGGCCAAGGGCTCCTCTGCCGCCCAGCTGACGGCCACGAGCCCTCCCAGCAGGCGTGGTCAGCCCCGCCCATACCAGCGCCCCTCCTGGCACCCGCCCGCACCTCTGCACCACGCGCGCCTGGGGCGCCCTGAACGGCATCTTGCGGTAGATGGGGTCATCCTCAATGCTCTGAGTCCTGGCCTGCAGGGCGGCAACTTCCTCCTGGCTCCTGAGCAGGAAGATGCCTTTGCCCTGATTGGAGGCGGTGGGCTTGCAGATCCACATCTGGGTTTCTGCCGAGACAGCGGCCGAGCTCTGGCCCCGCCCCTGCCCGCCCGGCCCCGCCCCCAGCCCCCAGATCAGGCTCCGCCCACATCCTGGGCCCGCCCCCAGCCACCCCCCAACCCCATCCACCTGCTCCACCCATGCCCCGGCTCCGCCCCCAGCCCTCCCCTTCCCCACCTACCCCGGCCCCAACCCAACCTAGGCCCCACCCACGCTCTGGGCCCGCCCCCAACCACACCCCCGCCCCGCCCCCAGCCCCCCACCCCTCCTCATCCACCTGCCCCACGCACGCCCCGGCCTCGCCCCCAGGCCCCCACCCCTCCCCTTCCACGGCCCGGCCTCGCCCCCAGACTAGGCCCCGCCCATATCCTGGGCCCGCCCCCAACCACAGCCCCTGCCCCGCCCACCTGCTCGGGGGCCGCCCTCAGCCTAGGTCCCACCCACATCCGGCCCCGCCCCCCGCCCCCGCCCCGTCCACCTGCTCTGCCCGCCGCGCTCTGGCCCCAGCTAGTCGTGCCCTGCCCATGGCCGACCACGCTCCACCATGGCCTCGCCCCTCCTACGCCCCTACCTCGACCAAGGCCAGGACCTTCCCCTCCCCACTCAGCCCTTCAGCCCCAGCCCAGGCCACCCCCAGCCCTGGCCTCTCTCGCCCCTCCCTCCCCACTACCCCATCCCTCCCCCATTCCTGCCCTGACCACGCCCCCATCTCCCTGTCCAGCCCTCGACGGGCGGCCTCACCGTCAAACAGCGTGAAGAAGGTGTCTCTCTCGTCCCTGCTGTCCAGACGGTAGGTCTCTGGGAAAAACTCTTCCATTTTCAGGGCCCTGGGGAGCAGGGAGAGGGGGGGATAGCGGAGGACTGTCCCCGGCCCAGGCTTGGCCAGCTGGAGGGACTGGCCCGGGCGCGGCCTTTGCAGGCCTTTGGGCTTTCTGTCCCCTGCTGGGAGCAAGAGCTCCCTGGGCCCCTCACGCGGCCCTGCCACCTGCCACTCCTGTCCTGCTCGGAGTGGTGTCCCCAGTGCTGGGACAGTGAGGCAGGCGGGGTGGCCAGTGTGCATGTCTGAGTGCCCTGGCCAGCCCGACCTCTGGCTCCAGCCCACGTTTGCCCTGGGTTTCCGTGTAACGCCGGGCCGTCCTTCGGTTTAGTCACAACAGGCCCTGGGCTCTGGGCTCTGGAGTCACCTGTGTGGCCTGAGGCGTCCTGGGCTGGTCCACAAGGGTGAGCTCCTCAAGGGTGGGTGCTGTGTCCTTTTCAAATCTGCACCCCGGGGGCCGGGGGCATGGGGCGTGAGTGCGTGGATGGTTGCATTTGGGTGGAAGCGGCTGGTCGGGTGGACACAGCTTTGATAGACCTGGCCGGGCGCATGTGGACGAGCCGCGTGAAGACGGTGCCTGCTTGGGGGCGGACGGGGCGGCAGACAGTGGCTGTCAGTTGATGAGTGGGTGGACGGTGAGTGGACAAGTGGGTGGGGGGCTATGTAGATGGGATGTCGGACGGCTGGGGGAGCCGCTGGACGTGGTGCCCAGAGGAGGGACAGGACAGACACAGGGAAGCAGGTGGCAGTGGGTGGTGGTGAGCCACGGAAGACTACGTGAGGGGCGCCCACGGTGACCACCGTAGGCATGGTGTGGGGGCCGTAGGGTGGGCAGGGTGGGGAAGGCAGGGTGGCGGGTGGGTTCTGTGCAGGGTGGGTGTGCGGGGGGAGGTGGTCTGGCCGGGTGGACGGGCCCACGCGCTGCACTGGCTATGCCGAAGTGGCTGGGCTGGGGTGGGTTTGGGGAGTGGGGTGTGTGGTCCTTTGAAACCCAGGTGGAAGGCAGGCGCAGGGGCAGGCCTGCAGGGTGTGGGTCAGGGCCAGGTGGGTTTACCTGGCTTGAGTGTTGACCTTGCTCACGACCCGCGAGTACTCCCTCAAGGCACAGAGCAGCCCGATCTTGGTGGTGAGGAGCTTGTTGTTGGGAAGCTGGTACAGCAGCTGCTCGCCTGGCGCGACAGAGCCCTGGGCAGCCCCTGGCCGCTGCGGGACCACGGCCGCTGCCTCACACTCTCGCTGGGACCCTGCCCGCGCTCCGCCCAGGAGGCCCCTGCGGGCTGCGGCCCGGCCCCTCCCGGCCCCAGCTGGGGGGAGCCCGCGCCCCTCCCGCTACCTTCCCGGAAGCTGCAGTAGCTGTCGCGGCTTTTGACCTCGCACCACTTCAGCTTGTAGTCCTCCCTGCGGCTGTCCTGGGTGCGCTGCCAGCCCTTGCTCTTGCAGTAGGAGCTGACTCTGCAGGGTGGGGGCCGCCGTGAGCTGGGGGCGTGGGCCCCGGGGGAGGGGCTGCGGGACGCAGGGCTGGGCAGGCAGGGCAGGGGGCAGCCGAGCCCACTCACATGGAGGCCCCGTTGGTGCCCCCGATGTAGAAGAAGGGCCCCTGCATGGCGCCAGGCGGCTGCTTTGTCTCCTCCTGCAGGAGCTCCTCCAGGAGGGCAGCTGGGGGCCTGGCGGCGTCCTCGGTGTCCAGGAGGTCTGCGGACAGGCAGGTGGTCAGCAGCCGGGGCCTGGCCTGCCTGAGGCCCCCGGCCCTGCCCCCGGCACCCCGCAGCCCTTACCTGCATCTCGGTCCAGGAGGCTTGGCTGGCGCGGGAGCCCCTCCTCCCGGTGGCTCCCCATGGGTCTCTCATGGGCCCAGCCTGCAAACAAGGTGGGGCTGGTCAGGGCTGGGGGAGCGCCCAGCCCCAGCGGCCAGCTGCTCTCTAGCGCCTCCAGGGCAGCCACCCTGCCCGTCTGGGCCCAGATCTGACCAGAGGACCTGGGAACGGGCACATCCGGGGCACATCCCTCAAGCGGGCGGGGTCCCGGGGGCCCGGGGCTAGGGGCAGGGGACACAGAGGGCCCCACCCTCACCCTCCTCACCAGCAGAGCAGCGGCTCTGTGCAGGGGAGGGGCTGGGGGCTGGCCAGGTGCAGGGATGTGCCCAGAGGGCAGGGGTCACAATGTCCATGATGACGTCATGGCCCACAGGCCACTGTCAGGCAGCGGACAGAGTGCTGCCTTCCCTGGGGCCGGCAGGGCTGCACCCACCACCCACGGTGGTCGCCCATGGATGGCACCGGCCAGGCAGGCCCGGCCATGGCGGGTGCCGCGGTCCCCTCCGTGCCCATGGCGCCTGGCTCTGCTGGGCTGGCCCAGTGTGCACAGCCACCGGGCTCCTGCGGCCCCTCCCCCAGCGCGGGGGCCTGCCTGGCTGCCTGGGTCTGGTCCCCTTCCCATGTCCTCGCCTTCCTTGGGGATGGGGCGCTGGTTCCTCCCAGCGGGGGGCGGGGCTGCCTCTCGTTCACTTGGCGCCTGGGCTCGTTCACTCGGCGCCTGGGCTCGTTCACTTGGCGCCTGGGCTCGTTCACTTGGCGCCTGGGCTCGTTCACTTGGCGCCTGGGCTCGTTCACTTGGCGCCTGGGCTCGGCAGCGCCGTATGCGGGACCGCTTGCTCGTCTTAGAGCCCACGTGGATCCGAGCGGGGTGCCCCCAGTGGTGGATGAACCGCGTGCGGCCGCGGGCTACTGGGATGGGAGCACCAGGGCGAGGCCCCCGCTGGGCAGATGTCACCCTAGTCCCCTTGCGGGACCCCTGGGAGGCCCGAGGTCCTGGGCCTTGGGTGGGGTGTGCGCCCAGGCCCTCCACGACCGAGGAAAGTGGCCTCTGGGGACCGTGGGCTTGGGTCTCCGCCTGTGGCTGGCTCTTGTCTCCCTGGTGGGTGAGCGGCCTGGCACCTTGTGAGGGTGAGGCCACCCCTGCGTTCCGTCTCTGCTGGGCACTGTTCCTCCGGCCCCGCCGAGCAGGGCCTGAGCGCCGGCTGCAAGGAGGGCAGCCGTCAGCCGCTCGGAGGGCCAGGGTGCGAGGGCCTCTGCCCACCCGTGGCCCTCCTGTGGCCGCCACGCTCCCCAGGCCAAGAACCTTACCCGCACCCCACCGAGGACACTGCCCCCCCAAAACCTTCCCTGGGTTGCCAGCCTTGGAACACCCCAGGGAAGTTTTAGCCAATCCCAAGAAGGTCCCTCAGCCTCAAGGTCAAGCAAACCCGTTTGGGGCCGAGCGGGAGGCAGGGCCTTCATCTGGAAGCCCCTGGCCAGGTGCTCAGGCCTGGCAGCTGTAGGACGGGGAGACTGCACTCGCCTGGGGCTCCACTGGGAGCCAGGTTCTTCCCCCGAGAGGAAAACCCATTTGTGGACAAGCCCGAGGGGCACCCAAGAAACGCCTAAGCAGAGGGCGGGCAGGGCGCTAGCCGGACAAGGCCTTTGTGTCTGTGTCCCCCCCACTCCCCATCCCCACGGGAGCCATCAGGGAGGAGTGGGCGGCAGTAAGCCCACCACAGACGGCCAGAGGGCCACTCTGGGCAGGGTGGGCATTTGGGGGCAGTCGGACACCAGCCACACCCGGCACTGCTGCAGGAGCTGCACGCCTCTGTGGGCGTGGGGAGACGCAGGGAGCCCCCCAACCCTCCCCACCAAGAGAAGGAGCCTCGGGAGAGGCTGAGTGTGGGGCTGGGCCCGGCCTCACACTGCCTGGGTGCAGGAGTCTGCAGAGCACGGGCGTGTGTGCACGTGTGAGAGTCTGTGCTGAGGGGAGACCCGGCCCCTTCCCGCTGGGCCCCAGCATGGTGGCAGGTGCGAGGACCCAGGATTGACCAGTCCTGTCCACAGCACAGGGGGTGCCAGGCTTGCTCCGGCACTGAAGGGAGGAGGGAGGGGCCTGCATGTGAGCCAGAGTGACACACACACACACAGACACATCTACACACAGATACCTACATATGCAGACACCTGCACACAGACACACATGCCTATACATGCAGACACACACCCCACACACACGGACACACATACACCCACAGACACCTACACATGCAGACGTAGACTCCTACACACACAGACACACCTACACAAAGACACACATATCTACACACACAGGCACACACACAGAGGCACACATACCTACACATGCAGACACACACATGTAGACACTCCACCACACAGACACACCTACACACACAGACACCTACACATGCAGACATACTTGTACACACACACAGACACACACATAGACACAACCCCTACACATGCACACACACATACCTACACACACAGACACCTACACACGCAGACACACTTGTACACAGATACACACGTAGACATTCCTGCGTACGCCGGCACACACACACAGACACAGACACCTATGCACAGACACACCTGCACACACCCACATTCACCTACACAGACACGCACCGACACGCAAGCACCAGCACACACACAGGCACACGCAGAGGAGGTGACAGGGGCACTGCAGGAATGACACAATGGAGGGAAACCCGGCCTGGAAGGTGGGTGTGGGGGGGACAGCAGCCCCACAGGGAGCTGGATGTTTTTAAACAAGGGAACAGAGACTGCGAAGAGCCCCTGGGAGCCGAAACTGCAGGGCCAAGGTGGGACTGAGGGCGGGAATTGCCGGAGAGGAGCCCCGAGCGGGGCACAGGTGTGTGAGAGGCGGGAGGGGGCGGCGGAGGCAGCGCCGCCCGCGCCCAGGTGGGGGCGTCGGAGCCCCGGGAAGAACTCGTGGAGGAGGAAGCCCTCGCCCTCCCCGTCCCCTCACTGCGAGGTGGCCTGGGAGTGGCAGCAGCCCAGCAGGACCCTGTGACGCGGGGCAGCCTGTCACACGCACCAGCACTGTGCGGGCCGCACACCCGCTGCTCTGTGGCTGGCTCCAGGGGGCAGATTGGAGCAAACGCCGCCTGGCACACTCCGGGCCGGACCGGGGCGGTATCTGCACAGGACTAACACAGCAGGGCTGGTGTGCAAGGGAGCAGGGCCGACAGGTGACTCCTGCCCTGGGATTGGAGAGACAGCAGCCCGGGTGCCGTGGGAGCGTGGGGACCGGCAGTCGCGTGGCGAGACAGCACCCTGCCCGGGACCTGCGCAGACCCTTCTGCTGCGGAAACATCTAGAAGGGTGGACGGGGTGGGGGGCTGCTTTTCATCAGGAGCCTTGCACTTCTTTGTGACTCTACCTGTGTGTATTTATTATCTTTACAAAGAAGTAAACAAGCCATGAGTTATTATTTCTTGTCACTCAGATTAATCAAGGTTTTCTAAAGGGACCTGGCCGTGCACGTGGTCAGCGACATCGCCGTCAGAGGGCACTTGCCCAGGGCAGCGCAGAGCGCCCGGCCCCATGGCCTGCCGGCCCCGCGGCTGCACTTGTGGGGTCTCCTGAAGGACGGGGTTCTAAACACACAGAGGAAGCTTTGTGCCCAGAGACGTTCGCCGACAGGCCGCTGACAGCGGTGGGTCGGCGAGTCAGAGAACCCCAGGGAGGGGACGGTCATGTACCTCCCCGGCGGGACAGGGCGGGAGGGTCAGGTGGAATCTCAGGTGCAGCGGGGCCGGGCTGGGGCTCACAGCTTCCCAATAAGCTTAAAGTAAACGTTTTACCTGGTCAGATACAAAGACCGACAGGACACCACGCCCCGGCGTGACGGACGGAAGACGCTTTTAAACCTGAAGGGAACGTCCAGGAACGTGACCAGGCGTCAGGGTCCTGCCACGAGTTTCCCCCCACCAAACTCCTGATGGGCAGCACGGGGCCCTAGGAAGGTACTGACATTGTTCGAAGGGCCAGCGCCCGCAGGCCAGAGGCGAGCTGTCCGGGGATGTGTGTCCCTGCGGTTTCAGGGGACCGCCCTTCTGGGGCCTGTCCTGGGGAGACAGACCTGGTCCTGGGCAAGGGGCGCGTCCCGGGGGGGCCCACAGCAGGCTCAGGAGGGCAGGGCCACGTCTGCTGGATCCCATGGGTGGTCGACTGTCCCTCTCACCTGCCCCCCAAGGTCTTGGGAGCCTCTGCCGGGAAACAACAGTGGTGACCCGGCAACCGTCTCCAGGCAACCATCTTTCCAGCAACTGTCTCCTGGCAACCCTGATCCAGAGCCCAGAGGTAAATGTGGGTGGGGAGGGGGCTGTGGTCTGAGCTGAGGGGTGCTGGCAGGGGAAGGGGGGTGCCTTGGCGGGAGGAGGGCCGCTGTGTGCAGCCCCCATCCCTGCTGGGCCCGGGCCTGGGCTCACTGCCCATCCTCCCTCTGTCTCTCCGACCCCTGGTCCCTGCCTAGCCCGCCAGGACCTGGCTGGAGCCAGGCTGGGTTTGCTGAATGAAGAGCTTCACCTGCAGATTTTCATCTTCCTTCTCACAGCAGCAGGACCTGGCGCTGCTGCGTCCCCATTTGCAAACGGGAACAGGGCTCACTCTGGTCAGGAGCCCTTGGCCCCCAGCAAGGCCTGGAGGGGGAGGGGAGGGAGGAGGACCAGGAGGGGAGGGAAGAGGGCAGAAGGACCCCTCCCAGGAGCCCCCGAGTCTGGGGCAGGGTCCCTTTGCTGCTGTGTGGGTTAGTGTTTTGTGTGGTGACAATGAGATGATCGAAGCACGATTTTGTGAACCACAGCGTTTATTGCCACACGAAGCGGTTCCTTCTCTTTGCTCACCTGCTACCGAGGGAGGGGAGAAGGTGGGTGGGCTGCACTGACCGTCTGGGCCTGCACTGCGGCTCAGGGTCTGGCTGTGGACACCCGGCTGCCAGCAGGGACAGGGGCTGCCCCTGTGGACGGCGAGATGCATCTCTGCACAGGGGGAGCTGGGACCCTCCTGGCAGGGAGAGCCCAGGGGCTGGTGGGGGCCGTGTGTACCCAGGCTCCCTGGTGTGGCCCTGCGCTCAGGCCCCTTTGGAGCCCAGTGGCCGCTGGTCAGCCGGTCACGGGGGTCTGAGGAGCTGTGACGTCACATGCTGGGAGGTGGCCCCCAGTTCCTGTCCCGGCAACACGAGCACCGTGAGCTCTGGGCTCCCCTCAGAGTCAGCCTGGTGGAGGGACTGCTGCAGATTCTCAGGGGAGGGCAGGGCGGGGCTCAGTACCCCGCTTCCGACGGCCGTTTCGAGGCACCTTGGTGGGGTTCGGGACCCTTGTGGCTGCCAAGCACTGACTTCCCAGGTGTGGGTGACTCACCTGGCCCTGTCCTGCCCCTGAGCCCCAGAGACGGGCCCGTGGGGTCCCCAGGTGGGGGAGAGGAGGCCTCACCCCCTTGGCAAGACCTCGCTCGGGCCCCTCCCCGGGTCCTGTGGGTGGGCACAGGCTGTGCCGCCCCTGCCCCGCCCGGCGTGCCCCTCCTGCCCTGGGCTCTGAAACCGTGGGGGGCCTGGTTGCTTCTGTGCCGTCCTCCTTGGCACCCCCAGCCTGGTGCAGGGGGGCCGGGTGTCCTCGGGGCACGTCTGCAGCCCCGTGGCTCACGCCTGGGCTGCGGGCGTCGGGCCCAGCTGCTGGGCTCCTAGGATGGCCCATGTGGGTGCCTCAACCTCCCTCCCTATTGCACCCACAGCCCCCTGTGGCCGCGTCAGGAAGCCAACTGGGGTCAGGGAGGCTGGCCCTGGGGACAGGAGAGCCCTGGGCCCTGCCTTGCACCTGGTGTCCCGGGGGTAGGGGGGTCGTGTGGGGGCCGGCGGGGGCTTTCTTCCAGCGGGGCTCGGGCCATGGACGGACGGTATTACCAGACAGTATTAGACAGAAGGGTCCAGATCTAACCGTGTCTGGTAAGACGCCCATCGGAGGCAGCAGGTGCAGTGGGCCTCCGGGGTCTGGGCAGGCGTCCGCGCCTGTCGGGAAGGGCCTGGGGTGCCCCCCACCCCAGGGCTGCTCCACGGGGCGGGGGGCTCTCCTGAAAGCCCCTATCCGGCCTCGGCCCTCGAGCAGGTCACCTTGCCCTGCTCTTGGCAGAACCGGCCACAGCACCTGGCTGGTTTCCTGAACGGCTCTGGGGCAGGTTAATAGGTAACAGCGAGTCCGGCACAGAGGCCTCCCCGCCCCCGCCGGGCCTCTGGCAGGGCCGCAGGCTTCCTGGCTTCAGATCAAAAGGCCACGCCAGTGCTGATCCCAGCCTGGTGTGGGGGGAACCTACGCTCCTTGTCCTTAGTCTCCCCGACGCCCGGGTGTCGGGGCTTGGGGACATGAGCCCACCCTGGCCCTTCCTGTACCCCCAGGGACCCCGGATGCCGTCAGGCCTGGCCGTGTGCGGGAGCCGGCACCGCGGGGCGAGTCCTCCAGACTCAGTGTCCTGGCCCTGCTGGTCTGTCCTAGAGCCAGGTCACCCCCAAACCCTGCCTGGGCCCCTCCCTGCATGCCAGGCTGCAGCGAGGAGACAGGCCCCCTGCCCGCCCCGGCTCAGCCCCGGGTCTGGGACCTCGGGCCGGTGCAGCCTCGGGCGTCTCCCGGAGCACGGTGGGTCACCTTTGAACATCGTTACCAGACAGTGTTAGAGTTGAGCGGAGAAATCCAGCACTGTCCGGTAAGATGCCCACAGAGGCCCAGGATGGCGGGCAGACTGGCAGACGCAGGGCCCAGGCCTGCAGGGCAGGCGGCAGGGGAGCTGGTGAGGACCAGGTGCACAGCAGCCAGGGCTGTGCCGGACGGGGAAGGGCTGGCAGGGAGACGATTAGGGGCCCGAGACCCCCACGAGCCCCACTCCCTGCTCTCCCCAGAGCTGTCCGGGGACCCAGCCAGGTGCTGCCTGCTGCTCATGCCCGCCCACCTGCCGGCAGGAGGGGAAGGTGGCTGGTGGCCAGGAAGAGCCAGCCGGGAATGGTGGGCTGCCCGCTGGCGGGCACAGGCCCCACAAGGTTGGTGGTTCGGGGTGCGGCCTCGAGCAGGCGACTGCAGCCGGGCCTCGCCCTGTGGGCTCTGCTCAGCCCACACCTGCCGGGTGGGGCAGGGGCACCTGCCCATTGTCTGATCCCAGATCTCGGCCTGTGTCCTCAGGCAGCTGCAGGAAGCCTTGTTTCTGGGGGCTGGGAAGGGGTGCCCAGGGACCCCTGCCCCCAGGTCCGGTGTCTCCCTGGAGCCCCACCCAGAAGCTATAGGCAGGATGGGGCAGGGGTGGGGGCCAGGGTGGGGGGCGGCCCCATTGCTGCGTGCAGGGCTCCGCCGTCATCATTACCAGGCAGTATTAGAGACCAGACACCATCCAATGCTGCCCAGTAAGATGGCCACGGCCGCCCGATAGGTCTGGGGCCGCCGGCGGGGGTCAGGCGGGGGCTCCTCGGGGCACTCGGGCCCGAGGTGGGGACAGGGGCTGGTGAGGGTCTTCAGCCCGCTCTGTGGGGCTCTGCGGGAAGTCAGGGGCCCCAGGGTGAGCCCCTGGGGCAGTGCCTGAGGGGCCCAGGGGACAGGCCAGGGGCTGGGGAGCAGGCCAGGTGGGCCAGGGCCGGGTCGGGGACCTTTCTGGTCCCACAGAAAGGCTTGCATGTCGGGCCCAGGGGTCCCAGTGTGCGTGAGTGTGCGTGCCTGTGTCTGGGCTGGTGGCTGCCGCAGGACAATGGGCCTCTGTCCCCAGGACGAGGCCCCAGCAGCCCTTCCAAGTCAGGACAGCCTCCTCGCCGCCTGGCCGGGCCCCTCCTCCAAGGACATGAGGTGGCAGAGGGGCGGCCCGCCCGGCTGGGGCTGGGGCACCCGCTGGCCAGGGCCCAACTCCAGAGCAGCTGGAGACAGCAGCCCCCAAAACGGAGGCAGACACCAAGCTGGGCACCTGCAGGGCCCACCTGGAGGGGGTGTTCAGAATGGGGGGCAAGGAAGCAGGTGGCTCTGGGGCCCCCTCCCTGCCCAGGGCCCACACCTGGCCCTGCTTGGAGCCAAGAGCCCCTGGGCGCCCTGTGCTGGAGACACTCTGGGGCCAGACCCAGGCTCCCCACGCCACCAGACACACCACCTGTCCCTTCTGTCCCTACACAGGCTTTGCCTGGGCCCAGAAAGCTGGCCAGAGCAGCTCTTCAAGTTTTCCGGCACCTTCCACCCACATAGGCTGCAGGGAGGGGCTCAGGCCCTGTGCCGGCTCCAGCCGACCACAACAAAGGCCGCCTCCACCACCCCCACCCCCCCCTCGCCCGCAGCCTGGTCCCCCTGGCTCTCCACCCACGTCTCTCAGGGGACCTGACCCCTGCACAGGCCCAGCAGGTGGGGACGGAGGGGCTTCGCTGGTGGCTGGGCCCTCGGGGACACTGTGCCCCACTCGGGGCGACCCCACAGCCTGGCTCCTTGCCGTGCCCCCGGACCCCAGGCAGCCACACCTTCCCCTTCCCTCACCTCTCCGACTGCCCCACCGACCTCATTAAATCAGTGCTTCAGGAATGCAGTTTCACTTTTTCCCCCTTTCATAACTGAGTAAAATTGCAGCTCTGCCCCCCGGGTGCTGGGCCCCCGGACGGCGTGGGGGCTGGAGAGGGCCAGGGCGGGCGCCCAGTGTCTGTCCCATAGCTGGGGTCACACCCGTTCCCCAGCCCACCGGCTGGACAGCCCGGCCTCCTGCGTGGCCTTTGGGGCCGGAGCCTGAGGTCCCCTAGGGCCCGTGGCCGCTGAGGGCTGGCCCTGCTCAGGGGGCACCTGGGGGCCCGGGACCCTGCAGGCTCGTGGCCTGGAGTTTGTGAGCTGCTGGGACCAAGCCTCAGGCCGGCGGCAGGAGACTCCTCCTTCCTCAGGTCCAGGGCAGAATCCCCGGTTCTCTCTGAGCTCAGAACCTGTAAATGCACGGGAAAAACTCCATAGGGAAAGACTGACAAGGTCCCAGGGCTGAGTGAGGGGGCCCTGCCCGGTGCAGGGAGGGGCGGCCAGAGTGCAGAGGGGAGGCAGCCACTTATTGTGGCCACAGAGCAAGAAATGAAAAGCAAAAATAGTTGTCCCCTGGGTTCCGAGAGTCCCCAAGGCGCTTTCGTGGTCAACTGTCGTGGGAAGTAGGGCGGCGTCATGCTCCTGGGCCTGGGCCCGGGGCGCCGGGTTAATCATCACTGTGGGGACCAGGTGCAGTCTGGGAACCGGGAGGCCGCAGCCCCCCAGGCCAACCCCGCGCTGCTTGCCGGATTGGGTGGGAGCAGCCCAGGAATTCGGTCCCAGCGAGAAACCCGGGCGGCTGGTTAACCTGCCCGACAGGCTTAATCAATGGCCGCAGAGAACAAAGCCTGAAACCCAACCCTCCCCAGCTGCGGGTCAGCCAGGCCCCGACGCCACTGAGGGCTCTGGGCGGGGCGGCGAGAAGCTTGGCTTGTCTACACTGGGCTCTTTCCTCGGCTGCGGCGGCGGCGTTGCAGCTACGTGTCTGCGAGGCAGAGCCGCCATTTCACCCCGTGGCGGCACCTCCGTGGCCCTGGCCGGGCGGCCGCGCACTGGGCCATCCCACGCCCACCCAGCCGCGGAGAACGGACCAGGCTCCCCGTGGGGCTGGTAACCTCCTTTCCGTCTTCTCCTAAACACCGCAAAACACATTCTGACGAACCGATTTTGCAAATAAAGTCCTTGCAGACGACTGAAACATCTGAAAATTCACGGCGAGCTGCGTCCATGTTTCGTGGTGGGTTTGCATGCTCATAAATGCAAAACTTAGGTTTTGTCTGATTCAATATGTTGCCGCAGGTGGGTCGTGCTAACTAGTAAACGTTTCATCCGGGTTACTAGAGGAACGAAACAAAATGAAACCGACCTGTTTTTCCAGATACTCAGCCTAAAAAAGGGCCTAAAACGCTCACAGTGGATTGATTAAAACGTTGCATTTTCATGCCCTGAGAGTCTTGTTCATCAAGAACAATGAACCCATGTCACGGCCCAGACACAATCCACCTCACCCCATCCGCATTCTCAGCTCCCAAACTCCCAGACGGTCCACGGAAGCTAAGGCCCCGGCGTGGACACAGCCCTCGGTGCCCCGCAGCAAGTCCACGGCTGGCGTGGGTGGCCTCCTGGCATGGCCAGGCCTTCCCCAGACCCCAGACCGGCTGACTGTACGGCCGTGGTCACTGCTGCTCTGCAGCTTCACGTTTAAGCCCACGAACCTCAGAACAGACCCCGGGCCCAACCCGGGCCCAGTGCGGGGCTGGGAGCAGCCGCCACCTTCTCCACGGAGCTCCCGGCAGGTGAGGAGCCCAGGTCTGGCCCAGATTCGCTCCGGCCGACACGGTCCCACTGTCACCCGCGGGGCTGGGCCCACCTCTGGCCAGAGGGGTGCTCCGGGCCCTGCCCTGGCGCAGCCAAGCCCTGCCCGTGTGCAAACCCCAGGAATCCACCCGCAGAGACGTGGGCGTCAAACCGGGCCAGACCCTTCCCCGCACCCACCTCTGCGGTAACCGCCTTCCCACCGTGGAACAAAGTACCTTGGAACATCAGTGGCTGCTCCGGGAAAGAACTTTCTAGAAGGTCCTGTTGTCAGGTGGTTGGCGGCAGGAACTGGAGCCCTCTCAGTGCTTGCCCTCTGCCCACACCCTGCCCAGGAGCCCGTGCTGGAGGGTCCCCACCCCCGGTGGCCTCAAGAGGACCCGGCGCCGGTCCTGCGCAGCCCAAGATGGCTCCGCACCCACCACCAGCCGCGGCCGCCGCCAGGGGCCCAGCTTCTCCTCAGAGAGGACGTGCCTGCCTGTGCCCACGACGCCCAGCACCCCGCTGAGCTCCGTCCTTGCTGCCCACGGCCACGGCCACGGCGGGGGCTGGGTGTCCTCCCCCTCGCACGTCTGGTCTGCTCGGCCTCCCTCCTGGCGCCCTTACCTGCCCCAACAGGTTCCACGGCTGCTGCTGCCGGGGAGCAGGGCAGGAGGCCGCTCCCACCCCAGCCCTGCGGCCAGCACAGTGGCGCGTCCCTGGGGGTGGGAGCCGCTCCGGAGAGAACCGGGCCAGCGAGGCTCTGGCAGGTCACTCTGAGGACCTGTCGCCCGCTCCGGCCTCCCCGTGAAGGTGAACTTCCTGCCTCCCCTTCAGGTGAGGCTCTGGCATGGAGGAAAGAGGAAGTCTGAAGGTGCACAGGTAGACGGCTCCCACGGCTTTTAGGAGGGCGCAGAGCCGGGGAACAATGGGAGGAGTGGGCGAGGAGGGGCCGGGAGGGAAGAGCCGGTCCGGCCTGGGCTCGCCTTACATGTAGCTGCCGCCCACCCCCCCCACGCAGGTGCCTGCTCCCGGCGGCCAATCTCTGCTGCGGGCCCCCGACAGGTGTGTCTCCCGGGCTCCCATAGGCCGGGAGGGAGGCCGCTCGGGTGACGCAGGCACAGGCGGGCGGTGGCCGTGCATTCCTGCTCCGCCTTGCTCGCTGCTGCTGAGGTCGAACAAAAACCAGGTGAGGGGCTCGGCTGGCCTGAGCCCCTCCAGGCCCCGGCGCCGTGGACGGTGCCGTCTAGAGGCCCCCCTGCACCCCTCTTCCCCCCGAGACGGAGCCTGCCCCGCAAGGAGGGCCCAGCATGGACGAGGCCCGCTGTGGGCTGCTGGGCCCAGGGTCCAACCCCTCACACAGGGGCTCTAGGGGCCGTGTGACCCCAGACCCACACCCCAGGCGGGGGCCCTCGTTTCAGCTCTTGGGGTTCACTTTGGAGCTCCTGGACGGGGGGTGTGCCGGGGTTCCTGTTGGGGGGCTGTGGTCTGGGGTTGGAGGACAGGCCCATCAGGCCTGCCCACCCTCCCCGGACGGCCTGGGACTCCACACGCGTGTTTGTTTCTTGCTGCTCCCGGGGGAGGCCCCCTAATGAACCGACAAACGATCCCGGTAATTAGCCCCACGGGCAGAGCCATCTCAGGGGCCCAACTATTTTCCATAACGAGCTGCAGCTCTGTTGGAAACGGCTAATTGTGAGCCCCGTCCTGTCCCCTGGGCTGCGGCTCCCGTCCGCCTGCTCTCTGGGCTGAGGATTGTCCCCCAGGGGCCGCCCTGTGCGCCTCGGGCTGCCGCTATGACCCGGCGGCTCTGAGTCCACCTGACGCCCCACGAGCTCACTCCTCAGCTGAGTGGGGCTGGGGGCGCCTGGCCCAACACCCGTCCCCACCCCAGAGAAGCTGGTCTGGTCCATAGCCCCAGGCAGGGCATCTGCAAGCTGTCGATCTCTGACCTCTGACCCCACAGCCCCTCCTCAGGCTTCTCAGGACCCCCAGCCCACCCTGATGCCGGCTCAGGGTGTCTGTGTTGGGTGGGGGCGGGGCACCTCTGGCTGGTGGGCACTTGAGCTTTGGGGAGACTGAGGCATTGCCCACTCCCCCCAAACCCAGAGTATTTGCTGTTGGCATCATGGTCGGGGGAGGGGGCTGGCCCTGTCCTGGGCCCCTGCGGCCCCTCACTCACTCGGCCTCCAAGGCCGGCCCAGCTGCACGGCCCAGCCCAGAGGGTGGCCAGAGGTGGAAGCTCTCAGGACATGGTGGGGACAGAGGGTCTGGGCTTGCTCGGGGCTGAGTCCCCACCTGCCCGGGGGCACAGAGAGCAGGCCTGGTCGGGCAGGAAGGACCCTTGGAACTGGCTCGGGGAGGAGGCCGGAGGGGCTGGGCCAACGTCCTGGGGTGGCAGCAGGTGCAGAAGCAGGGTCTAGGGGCTTCAGCAGTCTCGGGCTTGGCTGGTGGTGTGGGGTGGGTCGTGGCTAGGGTCCCGGGTGTGGGGACGGTGGCCGTACAGCCGGGGGCTCCGGGCAGAGGTCTGTGCCTGGGCAAGGACCACAGGGCCTTCTGGCACCTTCTACACTAGCCATGGGTGGCACTCTGCCACAGTTTCTCCTGTGCTGCCCGAGCGGGAGGCTCTTCTCTGCCACGGTAGGAAGCCTGTTCTCTGGGGGCTTCTGGCGGGAACACGGGGCTCCCTCGTCACACTTGGGTCTGACTGTCCGTCTGCACACGCTCTCCGATGGGGTGCTACCGGGCCCAGCCGCGGTGAGAAGAGAGCGGATGCTGGCCCTAGGCCCCAGGAGCCCCGTGTATCCGTGGGGCTGCGGTCGGAACCCCTCTCCCATGGCGGGCCTGGCTCTGTGGGCCGCGCCTGGCACCGGCCAGCGGCTCGGGGCAGGGCCTGGGAGCCCAGGACACAGGCGTCCTCAAGTGGCGCCCAGGCCAGGCAGAGCAGGCAACCTGTGAGGCCCCCGTCCAGGCCTCCCAAGCACACGGCTTCTGGACCTCCTCTCTGAGCAGGTCCTCTCCCTCGGTTGTGGAAGCCGCCCCCAGCGCCCCCCAGCCCCTGCGCCATCCAATGCCAGGCCCCAGCCTGGGCCACACGGACCCTCGATGCCCTGGCTATGCTAACGCCCAGCTCCGAGGCCCTGAGCTGGCCAGGCTGCCCCTCCCTGAGCGGCCGAGGCAGCTCTGGGGTGCGGCAGGGTCAGGGGTGCCCGGCCTCCCCTCCCCCACGCTCCAGGGATGTGAGCGGGTGTGGGGCATGGTGGGCAGGGCCTGAGCCTCCGGCTGGCCTGAGCCTGTCAGCGTGGGGCCACCCACACCAGGCCCACGTCCCAAGGAGGTTGCGCTGGGTGTCAGAACCAACAGGACCCCAGGCTGCCAGACACAGCTTCCTGCCTGGCCACCCACCAGCTGCTGGGTGCGGCCTGGTCACGGTGGAAGGGAGCAGGTGGGGGTGGCTCTCCAGGGACCAGAGAGGCCTGGCTGCCTGGCCCCCGCTCGGGAAGGCCCAGCCTGGGAGGGGCAGCCAAAGCCACTGCTGCACTGGTGAACTCGGCCCCCCCCAGCCCCCGGCCCCAGCTAGGCTGAGGCCTTCCTGGGTGGGGCAGGTGCACAAAAGGCCATTGTGCTCTGGGCCCAGGCGACTTCCTGCAAAGCTGCCACCACAGATGCAGGCGCAGGGTCTTGCACCCCCTGGCTCAGGGACCAGGGTCCCACCTCGTGCCAGGGTGGACATCCCTCCCGGACAGTGCGGGGGGAGGGGGGGAGGACTCAGGGCTAGCACTTCGGGGCGGGCCAGCTCCAGCCCCTGGAGGGTCACAAGCACAGGGACACCTGTGCTGGCTCCTCCCCTTCGCCCGGCCCTCTGTGTGGGCTTCGGGGTCTTTCCTGGCCCCTGGGACTCAAGCTCTTGGCCAGGACAGCACCAGCACCCGGGCAGGGGTGAGTGTGCTCTGGGGGACGCCTGCTCAGCCCGGGAGCCTGCCCTGTACCGGGGAGCAGAGCTGTCACTAACCCCCCAGCCCTCTGTGACCTGTGGGAAGGTCTGGCGGCCCCTCCCCTCACTGGGGCCGGGTCTGTGGGCTAACTCTGCTCCACCCTGTCAGCACTGCTCTGGGGTGCAGGCAGGCTTCCGTTCCAGAAATCTGGGAGGAAAACCGTCTCCTACAGTGGCAGTGGGCAGGCGTCCCCAGACCCAGCAGCGCCTGACCCTGGAGTCTGGGGTGAGAGCAGGACCAGGGTCCGTGGCAGGGGCGCCAGCTCTGTCCGCCTCCCCAGACCTCCCAGCAGAGCCTTTCCTGCCCTATAGCAGAGACCCCTCCCGCCTGGCAGGAGGCCGCCTGGGTGGGGCTGCAGCACCCAGGGCTGGGCTGGACCTGTGGCGGCTGCATTTCCTGCTCCTGATCCCCAGGGACAGGTGCTTCCCGCCAGGCTGCACCTCCCGCTGTGCTGCCAGGGGAGCCTGGCTGCCCCCCCCCATAATTACAAGCTGCAGAGCGGGGGACCCCTGCGCCCCTCTTTGATCTCCTTTCACCCCTCGGCTCTGGCTCCGACCCCCACCCAGGGGCCCATTAGTCGCTCCAAGCTCAGGGCTCCAGGCCTCGATCCAGGAAGGCCCAGCTGCCCTCAGCCTGACGTCCCCGTGCTGCCCTGCCGGGTGGTCCTGGGACCAGGATGTCACTGTA